ATTGTACGCTGATTTGTTCAAATTCCTGTATCGTTGTATCTTCTCGTTTGAACGAATTTTTTGAATCACGCGTCGAACAAAGTCTTCTTTGATCAGTTCTCGTCGTCAGGAAATTTTTCCGACTTTCCTCCACGATACGATCGGTATATTCTTAGATACAGAGCGCGTATCTACCTACGTGTATTTCTCATATCGTTTTATAAATTTTTATTTGATCGAGTTTTATCATGTAAGAAATTTGCCGCAACAAATGATTGCCACGTTGAACGCCGCTTCTCGATTCTCTTTCACCTTGTTATCATTGTTTTCCGCTCTTCGTGTATATCTTCATTTCGATATCGTGCCGTAGCTGAAAAGGTCTCACGCCGGGTATCGAGCCGGCTAACTCGTCGCAACGCAATCCACTCTCCGGTTCCAGTCTGAACGTCTCGTTCTCTACTACTTGTTCTCTGACAGAGTAACCGAACTGTCTTCCTTCCCTGCGATGTTCATCCTTGCGAAAAAACGACCTCGTTTTTTCATGCACGTAGAGCCTCGTCGTTGTTGCATCTGCACTTTGATGCATCCGCAGGACGTGCAGATCATTGGCGTTGAATCGTATTTCAGATATTCTACAACGACCACGGAAATCGCGTTATCTCTGCCTTCCATCCTTTCGCACTGTTGCTGTATTAGCAAGAAACTTGCTACGGCTCGCATCGAAATGTAGTTGAAATTGTCGTCAATTGCACTTTCTTAAAATTCAAATATCGCCACTGCTTTTAATTTCAACGAATTTTTTGAGTCACACGTCGATACTTCGCTTGATCAAATATTTCCACGAAGTTTTCAGTTTCTTTCGTTCGTACGAAGTTCCATTATTCGTAATTGTGATCTTTAGCGACGATTTCCTTGTAACGTGTCTGGTTCGTTTTGTATAAATAGAACCTTTAGTAGTACAATTGCACGAAATATAATTTTCTATATCTTCGTATAATACGTTGCATTTCACGCATCTTCGCGCTTTCAAATTCCTTCGAATAGAAATCTAATCGAGACGACAGGGACTTTCTTAAAATCGGTTTAATCATTGCAATTCGTCTTTGTAATCTTTCGCACGAAAACAATGATCGGCCGATCGTGCATCGTCGAATCTGCCTACATTTGCGGAAAAATTTCCAACGACCCATCCATCGTCTCGTGATTAATCGGCGAAGAATCGTATGAATGAAGAAGAACGCGACGAAAAAGAAGAAAAACGGAGAAGCTCGAAGCAAAAGTGGAACTTGGGAAAACAGTGCGGACTGCCTAACATGGCGCACAAAACGATTGTGAACCGTGCGATTGTTGCGCATCGTGATCACCGCAGCTGACAACCGATTCTGCGATCTTAATCTGGTCGACATACTCGCAAGAAGGGAGAGAACTGTCAGAACGTAGGGGAACGAAGAGAGAGAAAGAGAGAAAACGGAGCTGGAAGAAGGAAAAAATCGGTAGCTGGTCGATTGAGAGGACGGGAATCCGTCTGTCGGTTTATACGGTTGAGAGACCGGATCAAGAACCTTGAATAATTCATCGAGAAAGCGAGACTCGTTGCTTTAGCTTCGGTGCAAGGACTGACGTTGTTCCTTGCCTGTTTGCACTGTTAGTCGATTCGCTTTCTACCCTACCTCCTCGTCTCGGCTATTTCTGACACCCTGTATCAGCCTGTCTGTCCGCTTCGTGTTTCACCATGTACATCGAATTTTTCTTACCCATAAAAGTACCTTACACCAGCGATTCTCCGTTTCATCCATGCAGACATTGTAATTCGAAGCTCGTTGTTTAACATTAGAAATGTCACAGCAGCGAAAATGACTGGTTCTACGATTTTAGAAATTTATCGACCCTCGTTTAGGGATCGTGGATTCAGATGGATTGATAATAGCAAAGATGTACTTCGTAACGTGGAATTGCTTCCGTAAGAAAGCAATAAATCAATAAATATAAAAATGTTCTATTATTAGGTATTTTTTAAAGACCAGTCATTTTCACTGGTTTTTGGTAAAAATAGCTTTGTGTTAACTATCGGTAGTTCTGGTGTCAACCATTATCTTCGTACCACGTGCATCGATTTAGGTTCGATGCTGGGTTTTCGATCGTTAAAAATCAAAGTGTAGGTAGGGCGAGTAGGTTTGACGTTGGGAGTATCCAGGACCGGAGTGTAAAAGCTTAGAAAGGCGAAAAAAAGACGAAGGAATAGGAATGAAGGATTCACGGGGAATTGCGAAGGGACCATGGGGGAAAAATGGGAATCGAGTTTCAGCGTTTCTGCAAAAATGAATTTTTTTTTTCGATATATAGCCTAGTGAGTTTATATTTCCTCGCGTATCGACGTAAAAAGCTCTTGTATTCTTCCTTTTATTTCTAATTTTTATTTATAATTTGAAGCAGTATAGAACAGGTTAAACTCCAAAGAATGGAAATCCTTTTTTCGTCGTACGCCTCAATTTCTCGTAATTATTTATCAATACTCAGAAAATTTAATTCGCAATACGTACACATAGAGCTTGCGAAAGGACGTTTAACTCAAAATTCGTTAAAATTGCCCCTTTCTCGCGGAAAATAGAAGAAGGTTTGGTCCACGTACTTCGCAAAGAACCGTTCAAACCTGTAAAATTGTATGGTTGTATAAAATTCGTGTCGTGTAAGGAAAATGAAAAACTGATACATTTTCATAAAATGAATACAATACTTTGTTAAGTAACGTACACAACGTTGCCATTTAATAGACAAACCTTCAATAGACGAATCATAATTCTACCACACAAATACGATATCTTTGGTGAATCTTCCCGCGTTTCCCAATGAACTTTTCAAATATTCCGATATTAGGAATATTCGTCTTTTTCCGTTTTAATTATTTCTACGCGAACAGTCACCCTCTTTTCGGTATGAAGACGCTTTAAAACGACGAATGAATAGAAATAACGTTTGGAAACGAAACTTGGTTGGCGTTTAAGCGAGTATCTTTCGGTAGGACGAAGTTCCAGAAGATTGCTGTCAAATTTCTTAAGCAGCAGGAGAAGCTTTTTTGTTGCTAACGCGACCGTTAAATTTTTCATACGGGCGACTAAGGGGGCAAAAGGCGCAGGTAAAGAGAACCGTCTTTGAGGTTCTTTTCGCCGCCTAATTGTATCGGGTGTCTTAATCAGTGTGTAAGCTACTAAAGTCGAAAGTCTGGAAGAGGGGAAGGAACGAAGAAAGAGAACCTCCGCGTTCTGCATCTCAAAGGCTGAATTTTAAAAGTGTGTTAAGCCCCTGGCATTATGCTCGCTGCATTTATCCTCTCCGAACATGAATTTAGATTGTGGCTTAGGCACGATATTAGGCTACGTGCTTCTATCCACCGAACCTAAAATATACCTTTTTCGAACAGCTATTCCCTTTCTTCGTCTACTTTCTTTCTTTCTTCAATTTTTTCTCTCCCCCTCTACGCGAATATAATTACAGCCAATACGAGAGCAAAGTCCGTGCAATATCCACGTTGTGTCTTATCTTGTATCGTCTTTTTTTTGTATCGTTAATTAACGCAACGAGAGACAGGTGAATTGTAGTCGAACTGCAGCAAGATTTTTTCTTCTATCATTTCGTTCCTGTTCTTCGAGCGGAAGTAGCTTTCCGCTATTCTTCCTTTAGCAGATCTAACGTATTGTATTTTCGTATCGACATATAATTAATCGTCTGGAACGCGTATCGAGTCAGCGAGAGATTTATTTCAAGGAATAACTCGTATGTTATTCTTCGATTCGTAGTTTTGTTATATGCATTTTCCCGTGGAATTTTGATCGTTACGTACAGCTGTTAAGGAGACAGCGATATTTCTGTGTATTATTAACAGAGGAATAACGAAGAACATTGATCGTGGCTTTAATTCGGTGGATATGAATTGCAATGATGGGATTGCTTCAGATGAAAAAGGGTCTTTCGTGATCAACCCCATGCCACGTGCTGACTCGATGCTAAAAGCCAATATAATGTTTCGTGAAAGCAACCACGACGTACCAATATCGATATTAACTTGGCAATAAATTAATAATCCTTTACTTTTGACTGGAACGATCAAAGTTCAAGTTCAAACTCAAGCCAAAGTTGTCTAATAAGCGCACGTTTTTAACGTCCATGGAATTTCCTATTGCGATACGTAGAGAAACGTATTTGAAACGCGTACTTAACAATAAACTTTCAGCTTCAGAGATACATACGTATGATTCCATTGAATCGAATAATAGTTCTTTCCCGATGATTATTTCAAAAGTACTTGTGAGACGACAAAACTATTACCTCTAACGTTAAGATATATCGAAGCTCCAATATTCGTTCACACTTTTCTATAAAAAAAAAAAAAAAAGAACAATCCAAGTTCCTTCTTCATGAAATAATTCCAAACTTTCGAGCATTAACACACGTGATATGATAATTGTTTGAAAAATATCCAGAAAGAGTTCTAACAATCTTCTTCAAAACTCCAAAAACACGACGAACTTTCGGTTTTACATCTTTTATACCTATTTCGCTTCTTATACAGGGTGATTGGCAACTGGTGGTACAAGCGGAAAGGGGGTGATTCTAGGCGAAAAGAGAAGTCGAAAATATAGAATAAACATTTTTCGTTCGAGGCTTTGTCTTCGAGAAAATCGACTTTGAATTCTCGCTCGGTACGCGTGCGGTACGTTGCAACGGACCTCACTGTAGTTCGTTGTCTCGATGGAAAAATTAAAAAAAATTTTTATTCCATATTTTCGACTTCTTTTTTCGCCTAGAATCACTCCCTTTCCGCTTGTACCACCAATTATATAAACCACCCTGTATATAATATATTAATGTTACAATAACCAATATGTTAACATTTGTCGAAACAGTTTGCATGAACTCTATAGATGTAAATGTGTATACTATGTATAACGACCGCTGTATAATATATATTATAATGCATAGATGATGTTGATGACTGATGACCGTTGTTATGTGGGTGATTCTAGTGGGGCCTGTGTTCGGGGGCCGATGCGGCGCGGAGGCGCTCGGGCTGGGGTTAGGGCTGTCGCTGGGCCCGGCCTACAGGTTCGCTCTGCCCCCGGGACTCGCTGCCAAGACCACCCGCTGCCTTGTATTCGACCAAGGTAGGCCTACCAGCCATCTTCATTGCCTCTACGATCTCAGATAGAACAGATCTCTTCCACACGATCCCCTACCCCCTTTCATTTAAGTATATTTCATCCCTAAGGTTGTTGCTTCTTCCTATTCGATCGGCAACTGAGTGATTGCGGATTTTGTCGATATCACCTAATGGCAAACTTCGCGATCACTTAGTTGCCAACGCGATATGTTAGCTTGTCCGAGAAGATTCTTTCGTTTTATAAGGAAATAATAGAGGGACAGTGTTTTTCCTTTTATATTAGTTTATTGAATTATGCACGAACGTAATAATAGAAATATAATTCAATAAAATAATGTAAAACAGAAATTGTTGTTCTTCTATTATTGTCTTACGGAACGAAAGAAACTTTTCGGACAACCTAATATCTTCGCCAGTATCAGATTGCCATTTCCTTGGGCGATCTTTAAACGTCTGTCTCCTTATTTGCAAGAAAAGAATTCTGTTTAACTCCGTATCGAGTTTAGGTGTTTAATAGTCTACGCGAATTAAAATCTAAGTGAAAATTGATCGACATTTAAATTTTTCGAAGGGAATTTGTTACAATATCGTTTAAACAAACTCTCTGAAAATCCATTTACTCGGCTGATCGTCGATCGCAATTACAAATTTCGTTTACCATTCAGACGATAGGGATTTACCAACAAATGATACATTTAGGCTATATTTTTCGCTGTGATAAGAATTTAATAAGTTTACTATTTAGCGATGAAAAAGCGTAAAAGATGACTTAAACGCGGTCCTGAAAACTGAACGATTCCACGAACGGAATATGCGAAAGCAATCGAGTAGTTCTATCTGGGATTCGAAGGATCTATAAATAAGTATTATTTCTTCGACAAATATCTATATTAACCACTGACAAGTACGATTTTCGCTTGATGGACAACTAACCCTGTTTTCAATCTATTATGCTGCTTAATTGAATAACGAACGTGTATTGGGAAGATTTATTTTTCTAATTATTATTTACCAAGAGGACCATCGGCCAGATATTTGAACTCGTCTAAACAACGATTAAACGCAGGTAATTCGATCGTCGTAGCACCTAGCAAGCGTTGTATGTCGTGGAATCGACAAATCACGTTAAGCCTGTGCGTCGTCAAATTCTAACATTTCCCAACAGAGTGCTGATATATAGTAGGCTTAACAAACTTCGATCGGTAGGGTAATGCGGCATGGCAGAGTTAGAAGATTAGCCAAAAATTTACCGTCACGTATTTGCTGGCTAACAGCGACTCTAACGATCGCCGAAACGAGGACTGTTACCTTCTTAACGCGCTGACTACGGTTTATTCAATTTTTTCAAACGATTTAAGCGAAATAAACTTCACGTGGATTAGCAAATGTTCAACGATGCGAATGGTTTGGATAAAAAGAAGCAGTCGCTTTGGTGATTTCGGCTGGCCAGAAGTAACTCGATGAATTGTTTGCCATTTACTCGAACGCGGAACAGCTGTAATCTGAAATCTAAAGGGTCCTTCTCAAAGTCGATATCGTCCCGTTGATGAATTTCGGCTTAGGATATCGATTTTAGTGTTCATTGCCGCGAATCTGCTGTGCTTAAAGTCGGCCATCGATCCCCGAAATCCAGCTGCAAGATCGACTTGCGCGTTTGCACGGACTAAGCCTACGAGCTATGCTCATCTTCGTGTCCACAAATCTAACAAGACCGATCGTAAACGAGCTTGCGCTTTCGTCAGCCGACTGCAGTCTGGTTAAACGTCGGCTACGTACACCATCTACGTTAGAACTAAACACCTGCGAGTAACAGGAAAATTTCATCCATCTGCTAAATTCTCGAATACGTAATTCTACGAACATTTGTCTGATCTGTTTAGTTTAAAATTTAAAATAAAAAAAAAATGCCAAGTAGGAAATTTGAGATATCGCGGTTTCCGTGATTTTTACTTGTCAAATAAAATTATACTTTTTAAAGATCGTTGCGAAATAGATATCGGACCAAGTGTTTTAGAACGTATCGAAGAAAGACAAAAGACCTCGGTTTGTCTCTTCAGTTTCGAAACGACGGATGGAACATTTCGTCGAGACAAGGAATATTGTACTGAAAATTAATTAGTAGGAATTTTAATGAAAAACGATCGAAAGTACGAAACAACAAAGCGTAGAACGATCGATTTGACGATACAACGTGCAAAGTAATTCTATTCTGAAAGAAAGCGATACCTTATATGAGAAGCAATGAGAAGAGCAAAGCAAAAGTAGGTGAAAAAATTCGATCTGGAAACACAGAGTCCCCTTCTGGCTTCTAAATTATGTATTCGACGATAACTCGCTAGGATGCACATGATTCGGCTATGAGAGGTGAATTTCAAAGACGACAAACAGTGACTCGTTTCGGGTTTTTCTTCGCTCTCCTCGATCGTCTCCTGGCGCTGAAACGACGACGAGGATCTTACCGGAGAGCAGATATTATTTTTCATAAACGCGGCGTAAATGGTCGTTTCGCGTGATTGCATGGATCCAGTGGGATGAACGCGTGTGTTCCTGGTTGTACTCCGGTTGAGACGGAGCGGGTAATTCCGCCGATCCTATTTAGCCCTCTTCCTTTTCTGCCTAATACGATCGTGAATATGCTCGGCTACGATAAACGCGTGTATTTTTTCATCAACGATATTTTCATTCCTCTCGAAACTACGAAAATATTATTCTTTATTTTACCAATTGTTCCTCCTCTTCGGCTGAAACCAACATAACAAGATGCAGTTGTATCTTAAAGTTCCACTTGAATTTCAACTTTATACGAAATAATCAAGGTCACCGCGTATCGTAAAACGTTCTTGGACCGATAAATATCGTTGAAGTAATTAATTCAAGAAAAACTCTACATCTTTATTTATGTACATCTGTGACCTGGACACTGCTATTACGCAGAAATATTGTAAATATTTTGAGAGCTGCATATTATTGTACCTTTGAATATACAGTATGTTTTGGGCAGAGTCGGCGTGACCTTTTGCGAGGCCTGAATACACGTTCAAATGCTACACTTGAATTTTACAACGAGGAATTATTTATTGACAAATGTTGAATGATCAATGATGGATATTAAATAATAATACAACCTCTATTTTTTAAGCAGTTTTTTAAACAAACCCAAGTAATATTTTTTCGCAGCGATAACGCAAAAAACTATCGATGTAGTTTAAATTCTCTAAAAAGTACATTTCTATGAATTTCGCCTGGAATTTTTTATCTAAAGTGGTTTCCAGAATATGCGGACTTTATGCAGGACTTTATGATAACAATTTATTTGATTTTCACCTCACACACTATGCCTGTACTTATACTTGTTTCAATATACTTTTCTATTACAAATTCATCCACTCGTTGTTCGATCAGACAACCTCAACCTCAACCTCGACAAATACAACAAGCAGGTTCAGCGAGAAAGAATACCAAAAATTAGAAGATCAGTCGGACGATTGTACGAAAAATTCGCGTTAGATGGTTCGAAAAATCGATTCCAAAGAAACCTGTTAAACTTCAAAGAAAGATAAAGCGATCGCTATACCGTCGTCGATAATTATACCGACGTTTGCTTACTTTTACCAAAATGTAACTTAGCTAAAAAATTACAAATAGAAAGACTCTTTGATTTTCCGGAGCAGCTTTAAAGAAAGAAAAGAAGAAACGCGGCTTCCACCTTGTTTGAATTCGTTTACTTTCTATTACTAGGTTTTTATCGAGGGATGAGATCATTATGCCGGTCTCTCTGCCGTTTCCCCTCTGCCGGTCTCCATGTAACGTCTTGCATCGCCACCTTTTCGGCCAACATCCTCTCACCCCGTGGTCCTCCTCGCCCCGTTTGCTTCTCGCCTCTTCGCGCGACAGTAATTTTACTTAATTAAATTCCGTTCTTTCTGCCTTTGCTACTACGACCCCTCTGGCCATATCCCCATCCCTCTATCGCCCACCGAGGATCGTCAGTGATTTTTCTCGCATCTTTTCTCTCTTCTCGCCTCGCAGCTTCAAACGATTTTTCCACGATTTCGAGCTCGTCCCGGCTGGCTAAGAGCGTTCACGATACACAGACGGGAGATTTTGGTTTTTACAGCGATCGCGCCCCGAATCTGTCGCTTGCTGCGCGTTTCCCTGTATTTTTCGATATTATTCCAATTTTAGTTTTCCGATTCGACCATAATACGTCAAGAAACGCACGCTGTTTCGCATTATAGACACGCGTACATTTCGTTTCTCGTAGATTCTCGATCTCGTTCTTTAAGAAAAATAGAAGATTCTGTATATATTTTATTGAACACGAATATGTTGTCTTGGTTAATTACTCGAATTAAATTTAAATACGTCGTTTGTTATACGAACGTACGAAGCATTTGACGCAGCTTGAAAATGCATAAAATATTTTTTTTTAACTATATTTAAGCGCGCGATCCTTTTTAACTTTGAATAGCTTCCTGTTAAGCTACCTTTATAATATTTTGTCTTATCTTATCTAACATACTCGTTCTCGTTGCAATTTTATAATCTCGGTAAATTAGAATTGAAACCAAAAATATGCAGAGACCTCGACTTGAATTTCAATTATTCGACAGAAAAAAAAAATGTAAATATTGGGCAGAAAAGCGTCTCAGACTTGCGATCCTCTTCAGCTTTGAATGGCTTCCTATTACAGCTACTTTTACGATATCTTGCCTTATCTTATCCAAAGTACTATTCTCGTCGCGAAATCCATCTTCTCAATTTTATAATCTCGGCGAATTAGAATTGAAACCAAAAATATACTCGACACAGACCTCGACTTGAACTTGGATTATTCGACAGAAATAAAAATGAAAATATTGGACAGGAAAATGTCTCAGACTTGCGATCCTTTTCAACTTTGAATGGCTTCCAATTAAGCTACTTTTACGATATCTTGCCTTATCTTATCCAAAGTACTATTCTCGTCGCGAAATCCATCTTCTCAATTTTATAATCTCGGCG